AAGGTGGAAGAGACAAGGAGAGATGGTTCTGATAGTTGTGGTTTGAGAACCTCAAACACCTGTTTTTATAAACCTACTACACAAATGAATTCATGTGATTGGCTATATCTTATTTTATTATTTAAAATTTAAATAAATAATTAAATTATATATGAGAAACTCTTTAAATCTCTTGAGCGATGGACATGCTCTAAGGAACAATCAAGACTAAATTTCCCAATTTAAGAAGTCATAATAGTTGACAAAAAAGAGAAGTCATAATAGATGAAGAAAAAGCTATAAGTTATTACAATTGTGTTTCGACGTGAAAAGGAGGAATCTGTTGCGACAAAATTATGGAAGAATTGCACTAATAGTTAAATCGCTTGTAACCCCCCTTAAACAATTTGCATTGAGAACTTCATTAAATTTCAAGGTTCCATGTAGTTTCTGCGGTCAATTTCGGCGTTTTCACTTCCTCTGCCAGATTCACAGACGCACAAACCTGTATGAAACAAGGAAGAAAAAACTCATCAACCACCACCAAAGCTTCACGATGTATAATTGTTGCTCAAGATAAAGAAAATCCAATGGTTCACTAAGCTTTCCGCGTGTCCAAATATGAGACAGAACAATCTAAAACTGCTTATTCAGATGCAGCGAAGAAACACATGAACTATTCTACACCCCAATGGATCTTTACACATTCAAGAAAAGACCATGTCTTATGTCAATAAGCTATGCATTCCCATGAAAGAAACAGTTTCCTCTATCATAATATAACAATCATACCAAGTTTTATAAGATCTAACTTCCTTAAACGAAAGAATAGCAAAATATTAACACAAATGGACTCTCCTGCGTGTCTTTTCTCCATACAAACAAACACACAGAGGAGACTCATTTACCGATTTTGTTTAATCAATTTAGGTGCGGTTGGGATAACGGACATGAGTACCTTGAAAGATCCAGTTGATTTGGAGTTCCTCGACCATTCCATACCCAACATCTTACTAGACGTCTGATAAGTTGCCTTGACAACGTCATCGCCATAAAGTCTTCGAGAAACCGCAAAATCCCATGTGTTCTTGGCCAAGTCGTAGCATGGCTCAAACGTAGCCACCCCTCCATGGACGTAAGTGTACTTAAGCTTACAGTTGTTAGTGCCAACCATGTGATTAGCAGAAAGTTTGTTTGCAGGATCAATCGCGAGACTCCCATCGACAATTGTCCGGTTATCTAGTCTGCTATGAATGTAAGTCAAATTCAATGGTTTCTCAGCAATCCTAACCGTGTTCATGAACTGAAACCTAACATCCTGTAACCAGAACCACCAACACAACAAGTAAACAAATCAGAAAACACCATTCCTGAAGAAACTATGGATCCCTAAATGCTCAATTAAACTGATCGAATCTACAAAATCGTAGCCATAAGAGAGAGAAACTGATTTCCCCAGGTTTAATCGTGAACTGTATCATCAACCACTGTGAGTGAGACCTTCCATTGAAATTGAAATTGAGGGATTTCTGCTTACAGTATTTCGAGTCAACGAAAGAGGAAAAGTAATAGCAAAGGAGCGTTTGGTTGGTTGGTTACCTTCTTAGGGACGTTGTACTCGACGATGAAGGAACCAGGCTTCTCGAGGGCGAGAGAGAGACCGTTCAAGCTAGGGCCGGCGACGACGGTAGCATCGGTCATGGTAGCACGTAGCTTAAGATCGCCGGCGTTAAAGGCGAGGGAACCAATTCCGGTGGTCTTATCGGCATCGTACTTGCCTTTGAGAGAAGCCTTCATCGTCACAGAGATGGAGAAAGTGGAGAGAGCTTGGAGTTGGTGTGAGCGGCGAAATGAGGGAGTCGATAAAAACACGGTGATATAGTCTCTGATATAGTCTCTGCTGCGTGTTCCTCGTTGGCACGTGCGAACTGGTACGTGCGTTCTCGTTTGGTGTCTTATAACCTTCGCTCTCCTTCCAAAGGTTTTATTAGGAAGTAATCCGGGCAAT